GTGGCGAAGCCGTGGCTGTGAGTGTGGCTGGGCACCTGGAGGTCTACAATGCCCGGGGGGAGCTGTTGGAAAAGATCTTCCCGGATGGACACAACCGTTTGGCTATGGTGTTCGTGGCCAGTCGGCACGGCCGCTACGTGGCCTCTGACTGGCACCGGCGCAGCGTGGTGGCATTCGACGGGCATGGGCAGCTGTGGGCAGAGCTGGGTGAGGAGCAGCTGAAACAGTGCCAGCCGGGGGCTGTCTGCGCTGATGACAAGGATTATTTCTACGTAGCCCTGCGGGAGCTGAACAAGGTGGTGGCTTTTGGGCCGGGCGGGGAGGCGTTGGGGCCGTTCCTCAGTGCCCGGCATGGCATTGAGAGAGCCCGGGTGGCTACCATCACCGGGGACGGGCGCTTCGCCGTGGCCCTGAGTAATGGCACCGTCCATGTTTTCCGCATCCAGTACCCGGGACAGGGAGCGCCGGGGGAGGGCACAGGGAGAGGGAGATGAGAAGAGTGCATGTGTGTGCACATAGGTGTGCAGACAATGAGTGTGTGCACACTAGTGTATGTGTTCGTGTGTGCATTAGAGCGTGTGCATTCTGTGTGTGTGCATTAGTATGCGTCACTGGCTGTGTTAGTACATGCATTAGTGCATGCTTGTATGCACATCAGCATCTGTTTGTTAGGGTGTGTCTACACTGCAGGGGTTTTTTTTTTTTTTGGAAAAACAGTTGTTTTTCCGAAAAAAATTTCACTTACATCCACACTGCTATTATATTCTATCAAAAGAAAATCAAAAGAACAGAGGGGTTTTCCCAACATTGGTAAACCTCATTCTACGAGGAAGAATGTCTTTTCTGAAAGTGCTCTTTCGGAAAAAGGCGTGTGTGGACACGGAAGAAGGAGTTCAGGAGTTCTTTCAGGAGGAAAGAGGAAAAAGCACCAGTGCCCTGGTGGCCCCTCTGTCCATAGCAATCACAGCTGAAATGTGAGATAGCATCCATTCCCCTGTGGACACTATCGGTCGAAAGAGCAGATCGCTTTTTCGATGCGCTTTGGCAGTGTGGACACTCTCTTTCGGACTTCGAAAAGAAGTCTGTAGTCTAGACATTCCCTTAGTGTGTGCTAGTGTGGGTGACACTACATGCACTAGTGCCCACTTGTGTTAGTGTGTGCACTAGTGTGTTGATGCTATCAGTGAGTGGGAGTATTTGAGGAGCATGTGCGCAAGTGTGAGCCTACACTGCGGTGGCTGGCTGTGGCTGAGTGTGCGTGACACAGCCCCACCCGTGCTGGCAGGGGGGAGAATGCCCCCTACAGGAGAATTCCCCTGTGGTCTAAGGAGGCAGGGATCCAGGTGGGTGGGAGAGAGCCCCTGGGGGGTAGGATGAGAGCTGTATCCAAGCACAGCACTAGGCAGTGGGGGGGCCCATCCCCACGGCAACCTGATGGGGCCCAGGAATGGGGGAGCAGAGCATCCCCATCCCTGAATCCTCAGCCCAGACCGCTTCTCCCCACCCTGGCTCCCAGAGCCACAGACCACGCCCTGCTCCCAGACACCCCCATGTCACTCTGAGCTACACCCCCCAAATGTGAGACACCCCTCACAGACTTCTGTCAAGGCCCCCAACAAAGGGACATCCTGTGGTGGTGGGGGTCCTGGAACCTGCCCTCTAGCACTCTGAAGCAGTAGCATCTTGGGGGGGGGGGGGGGCGGGTGGGG